TCACTGGATTATTAGATTATAAAATTTTAATTTAACATGTATAATACAACACAATACACATAGTTATTATAGATCAGTGGTGGTCGGTAACTTTTTCAGATTCTTAGGCCACATTTACAAAATTAAATAATTCACGGGCCTGAAAAAATAAAAATAAAAATATATTTCAAATTATTTACTATGAAAAAATAACTGTTTAAAACTTTTAAGCAGGCTGCTTCTGACCCGATAGCCAACACTTGCCGACCACTTTATATATTATATAGCAATAACCAGATTATTGGACATACTGGATTATTGCAACCCTATATTACCTAGAGCCTATTGTACTCTCATTTATGTTTTAAATGTATTACCTTTGGATTTCTATGAAAACAAATAACTTTGTCATTATTAAACTTTTTTGTTTCTTTTAAATACATCAGCGATTGATTATTAATGACAAAGATATTTTAATTTATATTAATTTTTCAAATATTCTTTATTTTAACATTCACCAAATTTTCTTTTGAATATTAAGGTATCTGAAAAAGAACCTATTGACGAAAGGAAAGAAACCAAGGAATTGAAATTGCAAATTTCTCCTCCATCAAGTGTAACAAGTGATGTGTCTGTCTGTACAAAATCTCCCATGATTCATACAGGAAAAGGAATGCGTATGGAAGGACAACGAGATCTCCAGAGCTCTACGTTTTCAATCAGTTGTAAGTAAAATTGTATTTATATTGTATTTTAATTTATATATAGTATATAATAAGTATTAAATAAATGAGAGAAATATTGATTTCAGCGGAATTTAATGATCCTGTTAAGAAGTCGAGTATCCGTGTAAGAAATCCTCCTGGTGGTCAGTCTTTAGGTTTTTGGTAATTAACTTATATTATTAAATAATGTTCTACTCCTAGTCCAACTATTAGAAACTTTTTTTGAACATATATCTTTAAGATTAATCACTAGTTTTTATTGGTACTGCTTTATTTAAAACTCACAAATAATATATTATTTGAAAAGAAGTCATGTTTATTTTATCACAATTTTTAGTTTAATTGTACATTTTTATTTATAACAACGTATCAATAAACTGCACAGAAACTGTTTTTACTATTCTTGTGTAATTAATTATAATCTATAACAATTTAAATAAGTTAAAATTGATTGTTACTTTAGGTATGAATTTAAACAATTAATAATATGTTGTCTTTTGCTTGTTATCAGTATATGCATTTTATATGACTTACATACATTTATTATTAATTATACTCAATTGATTTAGAACTAATATTTTTTTTTTACTTATTATTTTATTATCTTCAAGTCACAACTGTAGTATAATAGTATATGATAGAATTAAACATATAAAAATATAAATATTTTTTTTTTTAWTATTTTTGATTTACAATTGGCAAGTATGTAATTGGAATAATTTTAAAGTTAGGCTCAGGAAGTTTTATTTATTATGCAAGACCTGTATTCTGAAGAGCATGAACACGATATT